AAAATAATAGATTTGTACCCGAAACCAGCACCAGTGCAGTAGACCCCGAGAGAGATGAGCAAACGTTATAGAGCGTTAACGACCTGTCGGCCGCCAACCACCAACCCCCCAGACTTTCTTCCCCACCAGCAGCAGCTGAAAAGCCTCTGTCCCCGGAGTGAGTGCGTGCTTTAGGGCCCAGCCCCACCTCCCTCTCTGTTTGGGAAACTTTCTGGTGCTAAGGAGGCCCTGAGCGATAGCGTTCCTGTGGGAACCGCAGCTCCGGGCTCCAGCTGGGCAGCCTCTTGACTACTCTCTCTGTCTCTGGGCCTGCTTCCTCGTCTGAAAAGTGGCCTTCCGTTATACTTACATGAGACAAGCATTCAAAAGGCAACAGAAAGGTAGCTCCCCACAAGGCTCTTCTTAGGAACTATGTTCCTGTCTTTTCTCCAAGGCCAGGGTTCCTGTCCCCCACCCCTTTGCTTCATTTCAGACATGGGCCTCCAGGCCCACAGGCTCCTGGGCCAAATGCAGGCCACCCCCGGCTGGACAAGGTCCTCTGGAGCCACTGAGCTCGACTCAAGGCCTGGGGGAAGTGGGGCCATAAACCTCTCCCGGCCTTCTTGTCACCGGAGATCAAACCGTTATCAGAATCAAAGCCGCCCAGCTGATGGATGAGGCTCCAGGACCCAGGCAGCCAGCCCCTCGCTGTTATATGGGGCTCCGAGCACTCCAACCACCTTGCCAGAAGGCTCGGCATGGTTTGATTTGGGCCAGAAGGTGACTTGTTGCGTCCCCAGGAAAGATGCTTATCTCTCTCTGCAGGGAGGGCCAGACAGAAGTGTCAGCAGGGGGATGGCGAGGCCATGCTGAGAGGGAAGACCAGGCCGCCGGCCCGATGTCCTGCTTCCCCAGCTCCTCTGCTCAGTGCTGATGGCTGGAGCCCCAAATGGCTTTCAAATCCTGGAGGGCCCTGAGCCCACGCTTCTGGCAGCAGCCGACAGATCTACCAGCCCAGAGCCCTTTATTCCAGGAGGCTCTAGCGGGAGAGACATGAGGCAATGCCGCCCTGACCTCATAGCCAGGGTCAGAAGATTCCAGAAGGGCCTGGCCAGTCTGGAAGCTAAGTAAAGGCTCACAGAGCTATCAGGGGTGTCATTTTGACCATGTCAGGATCCTGGAAGCTCAGTCAGAACCTGGAGATTAAAGGAACCCAGCTGCTATTGTTGGAGACGCCCGGAGAACTCTGGGTGGGGTCCATGGCGTTCTGCCGTCCGGGGTTCAAATCCTGAGTCTGGCAGCAGGACTGCTGCGGTAAAGTAGGATGTGCATCCCGCAGAGGGTCGCTGTGCTGTGCCCGGTGCGCGCCCGTGGTTGCATTATTATCCAGACACAGTCGTGAAAGAACATGAAATGGAAAGTCTGCTGACAGTGCAGGGGCCATAGTCTGGAAGGAAAGACACCTGACTGCCAGTCGGATAACACTTGAGTCTGCAACCGGGACTTGACGGTTGTATTTCTGTATTTTCCAAAGCTTTTCAGTGCACCTGCATTCCCTTTTTTAAACGAAGAGTCTAAACCTAAGAAAGGCGGTAAGAGATGCGCCGGGCAGCCAGGCCTGGGGCAAGGCGGCTGGTCCCCCGCTCTGGTCTTGGACAAATCCCGAGTCCTCCAGGGCCCCGCGGCCCCCGGTGCAGCCTCCTCAGGGTACTGACGGCCGGTGTAAACTCCAGCTGTGGCGCAGAGTTACCAGAGATGATTGTGGCTTTGTAGGAGCAGCTTCCCCACACGGTGCCTGTGGCCTCTGGTCCCCGCGCCCCAAGGCTGAGCTCCTCCGCTCAGAGCCGCAGCCCTGCTGCCAGCTGCCGGCTCCGCGTCTGCCTGGCCCTGCACGCACCCCGTGCTCTGGCTTCGTCTTCCGCGGGTGTAACAGTGCGTGAGCAAAAGAATGGAAACGCCAACAGGAAAACCTCTGGAGAAACCTCACTGGGAGAAGGGACCAGGAGGACAAGCCCGGGCATCGAGGGGAGACCGATTTTCAGAGCTCTTAGGGTGCAGAGGGACTCTGGACACGGGGAGGCCTGGGCTCCAGCCCTGCCTCTGTCCCCCACTCACCATGTGGCCCCCGCACCAGATGCCCCATCCTGGGAGCCCCTGGTTTCCATGTGCAAAAGTAGTTCACAGTCTATCCTCGTGCGCTGCTTGTGAGGGTCGAACGAGAGGGTGTGCGAACACCACCAGCACAAGAGTAAATGTTCACCCCACGTGGTTGCCGAGAGACCGGCAGGAGCGCCGAGCCCATCGCGATCCAGCCAGCGGCCTGCACGTTACAGTCCCCTGGGGAGATCCGCAACGGTATGAATTCCTGAACCCCAGCGCCTTGCAGAAATGGCCGATTGCAGGCTGGGCAGGGAGGGTGGACATGCACCCGGAACTAGTCGTTAGGGGGCGGCCAGGTGGAGGGCGTCAGGTGCAGGACGGGCTCGCCGCAAGCCTTCCGGCCGCTCTGTGTGCACTGCCTCCTTGCTCCTCACAACGGCCCACCGGGTGGGAGCTCTTCCGACGTCCACTTGGCCAGGCCTGAGGGGGAACCCCTTGCCCAGAGTCCACAGGGACTATTTGGCAGAAAACTACCTGACTTGGAAGCCTAGTTTTTCTGCTACCTGCTATAGACCCCACACCCTTTCTCAAGAGGGCCTTTGCGGGAATCCTTAGCTGGAGCAACGCCATCCCTAAAATACCTTAGAATAAATATCTGCTTCACAGTTCCAAATTACCCACTATGCGCAGTGTGTGTGTGTGTGTTTCGGGGGCCTGGTCCTCTCGGCGGCTGTCCTTGGGGAGGTTGTGTCCCCTGTCTGGGGAGACTAGACGCACCTCGGGACCCTGTCACCCCGCTGCCACGATGCACTTGGGGGAACAAGGTGGAGCCTGTGAATGTGAACCAGCCTGGGGACGTCCCAGGGTCCCGCCTCCACAGACGACAAGGGTCCCTGGGGCTGTGCGAGCTCTGTGGCCCACAGCGGCCCCATGCGGCCACCACCGGAACAGCGGCTCCGGCGGGGGTAGGGGGTCAGACTTGTTAGCTTCTCCCTCCACCTGCAGCCGACCGCCACCGTGCACTGAGAACATTCACGGAGCTCTTGGACAACAAAGAGGCTGGGGGTCTCCAAGACTCCAAGGTCTACGAGACCCCTGGCAGAGAAGGGCCAGTGAACAGAAGTGATTATTAAATGCAGCTCAACCATATTCAACCTCCAGATTCGGGAAAGCTGAACAGACCGGTTCTATCTCACAGCCCCCGCGGTCCTTGTCGGAATCACAGCCCTGGAATCAGAGTATCTGTCAATGAGAAGGGATATTTGGTTGGCAAACCTTTGATGGATGTAAAGCTTCCAGGGCAGCCAGGGAGGCTGCTCGCACTTTGGGGAAGCTTGCCCAGCACCAACGTGGACCACTTCCTCTTACTCTTCTGTGTGCGTGAGTTCCCCCGAGGGTCTTTCCTTGCCTGACCCCAACGCGTTCTCACATTGTTCTGTTTTTCGGACAACAGCTGGTTGCCAAGGCAACCAGCAAGGAGCCCGAGTCAGACCAGAGTCTTCCTTGCAGGGAAATTCGGCCCTTAACTCATCTCTTCATCCTCCACCAACTCTTGGCTTGACCTCAGAAAACTCTGCCAAACCCCCAGGCAAGGAGCTCCCGTCCCCTGCTGGGACCTTGCCCCGGGGGCTGAGCACAGCGGAAAGAGAGAGCCAGGCTGGGACCCAGAGCTGGCGCGGCCTGGAGACCCTGCACCATCCCAAGCCTTCCCTGTGCTTCCAATGTAAACCTTTTCCGCAAGCCTACCAGGTACAAAGTGCGCAAGTCCTTCATGCGGTGCTCAGCGGGCTTCACACACGGGACACCCCATGGACCCAGCGCCCAGAGAACAGAGTGGAGCTTCCTCAGCCCATGAAAACACCCTCTGCATCCCTTCATGGGCATCCCGCCCCCCCACCCCCAGAAAGGCAACCACTCTCCTGACTGCCAACGCGGAACTTTCTTCTGCCCGTTACTGAACTTGACATAAACCGCGTCACACGGCGTGTGTTCCTTGGAGTCTGGACTGTGTTCTCAACATGATGGTGGTGAAGCCACACATGCTCACGCTCCAAATCTTGCTGCCCCCTTTCTAGTCCACTGGTCTTATGGATGAGAATGCAGAGGCCCAGAGAGGGAATGTGCCTTGCCTGAGGTCACACAGCAAGACTAGCAGCCAGGTCTTCAGACTCCATGTGCATTCAGTGGGCTTTCCCTGACCCCAGACTGCTGGGCAGCTGCGGATCTCAAAGTGTGTTCAGTGGACCAGCGGCATGAGCATCACGCTGAACACTTGTTAAAATGCATATTTCCAGGCGCCTCCTCAGACCCGCTGGATCCCAATCCCTGAGAACGAGGCCCTGGCATCCGCATTTTAGCAAGCCGTTCAGGTGTTTCTTGGGCCCAGGGAAGCCCTGTGGACCCTGAAGGAACACCATGCAATTCTTCGTTTTATTCACAAGAGGGAGCCAGCACCCCAGAGACACAGCCTCGTGCTCTCTGAGAGCCCAAGCGGCGGGGCCAGCGTGCCAGCGATTTTCACCTGGTGGCTCACAGCACGGCCGGCCCCCGTGCCGGGGAGATCCTCAGGCAACACCAGTCAGTGGTGTCCAGGGAAGAGAGTACTTTTGTGAACACGGGAGGCAGGAGAGCTGCGTCCTAATGCCACGGCCCCCTCCTCAGCCCTAAGCATCACACCTGCTACAGAGTTCCTGCGGCCTCAGGAGCGCCCTTCACTCCTCGGAGCTCCAGATGCCTCATCTGCAAAGCAGGGCTGCTGCACCCTGATGGCCCCTGAGTCCTCACCCCCCGCCTTGGTATTTTACAAGACATCCATTAATGTCTGTAAAATGTTAGGGAACAGAGGGCAGTGTTGTCACACAGATGTTTGTAGGCTGTTTGGGGATGAGTCTGCTGTACTTCCCTGTGTTTTATGGCAAATCTTCAGGAGTCACATGCTCTCTTGCCAGGAAATGTGACTGGAGGCTTTTGCGCCTACGTGTGAGGTCCGGAACCATGGCAGCCATCTTGGGCCCATAAGGGGAGATACCTGAGGAAAACATGCTGAGGATGGCAACGCTGACAATGAAGCAAACTGGAGTCCTTCACAAAGTCACTGAGCTCGTGACTTAGCCTGGAGCTTCCCTACGTCAGAACTTCTAGTGAGGTAAGTTAATAAATCCCCTGGTAGCTCACTCCAGCTGGGGCCGGGTCTTCTGCGGCTTACAGCTGAAGGCATTCTGTCTGGCTTGCTTGTCCTGCCATGTTAGCTCATTATCCACTGGTGGCTCAGACAAGGGACTTTCTCATGCCAACAGCTGCTGTGAGCATAGCAAGAGACTGGCACTGTGGCTGGTACCAGGAGTCCTTGGAAGACAAGGTTGGAGAGCCAAGACACAGGGGTTTGGGAAGCTAGCCAAGGGGCCACAAGAAGGGAGTTGGTGGTGGGGCTCTGAGTCTTCCGGGGTCCCAGAGTCCACAGCAGGTCCAAGTGTGGGGCACAAGGAGGTGCGTTTCCACGTGGTCACGCGGGGGACCCTTCTGCATAGCATTAGCTTGCTACCACTTCGTCAGTAAATCAAAGAAGATTCCTTAAACCACACAGGCCATCTGTACCGGAGGGACACTCCCACTCCTTCTGGGAGTGACGCCACCCCTCCCTCTGGCCGTGAAGCTCCCACATGGAGCCACCAGAGTTCTGTACACGGATGGCTGCCCACCAGAGGCCGCCGCAGTGGCGGTGAGCTGCAGGGCCGGCACAGAACACCTCGTCCCGGCCAGGGCCCTGAAGCTCTTCTGATTATGTATTTTCTTATGCTTTCACTTCTCATATTTATTTATATAGATAATATCTTTCAGTGGGGATAACTGACACGAGGGCTTTAAGTTCAGAGGTGGTATCCATCCCCGTGAGCCCTTACAAGAGCCCCTGTCAAATTTGGATCTGTATATTCTAAATCTCATTTTTAACGAGGAGACTGAGGCTCCCAGGGCTCCCTCGCCCGAGGACGGGCTGTCAGAGCAGTAAGACAGATCCTGCCTCTCCTCCAAGTTCAGCCACTCATGGTGACAGTTTCCTCATCAAGTCAACGAGCCTGCGCTCCTTGGAGCATTCTCTGGGCTTCCCAGGGAGGGAGTAGAGAGAGGGTTAGAATCCAGGGGATCACTATGCTGATTTGTGAAGACAGCGCCCAGTCGTTCCATGGCTCTGGAGCTATTTCTGAAGATGCCAGACCAAGGCTTCCTCAGAAGGGCACTTATCTTGTTGCAAAACTATAATCAGATTTCCCCTGAAATAACAGCCTTATTCTCCCTGAGCAGAATTGAAGGGCAATCATGAATATGGTCAGAGGCCCTGTATTGCTACCTACTGATCCATTTATAATCAGGGTAGGGATCAGAATCCAAAAGATTACCTCAATCCACCCTCCAAAGAGCATAGCTCCTAAGAATCTGATTACTTCTCCTGCTGTATCAACCCCACCCCACTGGGCCCAGTAAAGTCTTTGAGATTGTGCACAGCTGATTTAGAAAGGCACAGAGCAAGAGACACTGACCAAGGGTCTGTCTATATAGTGATGATGGTGATGGTGACAGACTAATGACGTAAGTCATGATCATTGTCCTTGTTTGTACTTATACTAGCCTTGAACCATGTGCTACCGCCATCTCATTACTTTTCTCACCCTCCCCGAGGCCTCCATCCCAGGCTCTGAGGAGCATGTCCTCCTAAGCCATGGTCGCCTCCATGAGCTAGTCTCACAGTGTCCCCCACAGAGGTGTGCAATGGAGAAACCATGAGTTCAGATCTTAGTCTTGCTGCTTCCTAGGCATGTGACTCCAGGAAGTGATTTCCTGTTTCCTCATCGGTGAAGTAGGGTTACACGGGCCCTGGCTTATGGGGTTAGTAGAACAATGTCATGGGTGATGGACACAAGTGCTGAGGCAGGGCACCTGACAGGTGCCCTGGAGTTTCTCTTCCCCTGGCCCTGCTGCCTGCAGAACCGTGGGCAATCATCCTGTTGTCACTGGGATCGTAAGGACACCTGCTCTAGAAACTTGCTAATCACTCTACAGCAGGGCTCTGCAAACTTTGCCAACATAAGAGTCACCCGTGGAGCGCTGAAAACTCCAAACACCTGGGCCACATCCCAGGAAGGCTGAAGCAGAGCCTGCAGGGAGGGGTCAGTGGTTTATAAATGTTCCAGCTGGTTCCAATATGCAGCCCGTGTTCTAGGCCAGCCCTGCCCAGCAGGAAGGTGAGGTGAGCGCAGTGACAGGAACAAAAAGAGACACAACAAATTCATTTTCATAATATATTTTATTTCACCCCATATATCTAAAATGTTACCCTTTTAACAAGTAATCCAATATTGAAAAAGTATTAGTAAGGTATTTTACATTCATTTTTTCTATGAAGTTTGAAATCAGCTGTGTGGTTTGGGGCACATCTCAATTCAGGCTCACACATTTCAAGTGACTAGTGGATACCATCACACCCACTCACCTGGCAGGACGGGCAGTCCCCACTCTACAGATGAGGGACTAGCCCAGGCCCCACCGCGGGTAGGCAACAAAGGGGATTCAAACCCAGGTGTCCTGGAGCAGCCTGGCATCCCCTCTCCTCCCACACCCAGCCCCAGGTGGTTCCTGGCTCCATGTCCTGTCTGGGGACTGCCCCAGCACGTGGGAGAGCCAGCCCCCTGGTTCCCACACCCTGGAGACGGAGCCATCCCCCAGGCGGGGTCTCCGAGGGCCATGCCCCTTGCCGGGATGATTTCTCAATGGTCCACGGTCACCTCTCCAGCCACACCTCGCCCAGCACGGCGCCCAGGAAACAACAGGGCACAGGTGAGACCGCAGAAGCCAGGGGGTGTCTCCAGAAGCCTCCAGCTGCAGCCAGTCTGTAGGACTGAAGTTTTCAGGGGTCCCAGCAGAGGTCCACTGGGCAGAGGCCACCGTGTTTCCACGGCCTATACAGCCCCTCCTGCTGGCCTTCCTCAACAGAACCGTTTCCAGGTTCTTGGGGCCTCTCAGTAGCCCACCCAGCCACCCCCCTTACTGCTGTTTCTACTACTGGGGGGTATGGCTTGTGTACACACGAGAGTCTTCCCCACCAAAGGGAAACTCCAGCTGGAGGGCTGATGTCCCGCTGCATCCCCGCGCCCAAGAGGGCCTGACCCCCAGCCGCTCACAGACACTCGGAAATGAATCCATCCCTGAGTTCCCAGCCTCAGGGAACTGGGAACGGGAGTAACTCCGGCCGCAGGTTTAAGGGAGAGAAAGCCACCAGGTCACTTCCACCATCAGATTCGGGGGCCGGCTTCCATCTGCTCAGAGGTGGCAAGACGTGCCACGGCCGCCAGCCTAGAGCACCCCGGGGGTCTGGGGCAAGGACACATTTGGTGCAGTAATGAAGCATTCAGGAAAAGGGACCTCATTTCCCACCGGAGGCGGCTCCCAAGTGGAGGGAAAGCATGATTCCTTCTCTGTGTAGCAGCTCGCACTTGGGTGTATTATGGGCGTAGGCCCCCATCATCTCTTGCTTGGCACGTCCTGCCTGGGGTCTGCCTCTGGGAGGGCCGGACGCGCACCACGCAGCCAGGACAACCCGGGTAGCTCCCGTGGTACCTGGGTTCCTCTTTCCAGGACCTCAGCGGCCCATCCCCCTGTGGGCAGGAGCCAAGGCTCCAGCACTTTCTCAAGGAAGCTCTTGGAAGTTTTTTCATCCTATCTGAAACTTCAGAAGCATGTTCAGAGAATGCATGCTCGGCGGTGGTGGTGTTGGGAGAGCCCTGGGCGAACCTGTGGCCCCAGAGCATGACAGGAGCAGCCCAGGTGCTCCAGGGAGAAGGACGTTTGGCAGTGACTCACCTCAGAGAGCACGCACCTCTCCCCAGAATCACGTACAAACCAACTTCTTATATAACTCAGCACATTCTTCTTCATCCTTGCGGTCGGAGTTTTCTAGAACCCACCAGCAACCTTTTGGTTCATCTTCTGGTTTTGATGTGCTGTTCTCCACCTTTGAAAGGGGAAATGGTCAGGAGACCTCAGTGTCTGTTTTGTTTTATTTCGCTTAATCTTTAGTAATAAAATGGAGGCCGCTCCCTACCAGGGCAGCGCCAAGCCTGTGTGCTCTGTGAAGGGAGCACTGATCACGAGGAAAGGGGAGCAGGAGCCCAAACTCAGGGGCGCGAATGCAGACTCCCGTGGAGTTCAGGGAAGCCAGAAGCTTCGCTGCGTTGTTGTGATTGTTTCTGTTAACTCTCTTCCTCGTGGCTCTTAACTCTGAGCCGTGTGCTTCACCTTTGTGAGACCACGTTCCGTCCTAAAGGACATGGCATGATGTGCCCATTTTAGAGATGGGCCTACTGACGCTCAGGGGAGCTGACGTTGCCCCAGGAAAAGGGGAGGTCAGGATCCCAGTCCAAGTTCCTAAGGGCTGCCCCACGGGAGCTGCCCAGGTGCTGGACACCACACCAGACACTCAACTTCCAAAATGAGAACGATGCCTGACTTCTGTCCTCAAAGAGTCACTGACCAGTGAGAAGACAGCCCCCAAACCCAGCTCAGTTCCCACAGATCGCCCCCAGGCAGGGCCAGACGCTGCTCCAGCCACAGCGTCGGCTCCAAAGGGAGCCCACTCCGTGGCCTCGGACGGGGCCTGCCCTGTCTGGGCCTCAGTGTCCCCATCCGTGAAGTGGGGTTCTAGGGGCTCCACAACCAGAACCAAATCTGGGCTCTGATGCTTCTCACCAACTGACCTTGTCCGGGTCACCGAGCCCCTCTGTGCCTGTTTCCCCAGCTGTGGAATCAGCCTCCTCAGGAGCACTATCTGCCTCAGCACTTAATAATCACCAGCTATGGTTAATTGTATGTAAAATGAAGCGAAGGAGCTAGAAGGGCTCCGAAAACATCCCCCGCAGGTGTGTGAGGTCGTGACCCTCCCATTCTGGTTGCACCTGCTGTTGGAGACTCAGAACCTGGCTCCCTGCAAAATCGCCCTGCAGTCACATCCATCCAGCCCGGCTGGTCTGCCGCTGCCCTCCGGGGGCCTCCGGGCCCAGCTCACGTGGGGCGCCCCGTGGCGCAACCGTGAACCAAGTCTGCAGGAGAGAGGCAAGCCCTTCACCAGAGCCCCTCTCCTGGACTGCCATCAAGGGATACAGCGTCCTCGCCACCTGCTTTCGTAAAATGGGGATGAGATTTTCTGCCTCCTCGAGCTGTTGGAAGGTGAGAAACTAAATGATAATGATAATTAACAAGGACCGCTTTATTGAGCCCTCACGATGTGCCGGACGTGGTGGGAAGTGGCTTATGCACGAAAGCTCGTTCCATCCCCACGACAAGTCAGGAAGGCAGGCACTACTTTCCCCATTTTGCAGACAAAGAAGCAGAGGCACACGGATAACGTATTAAATACACACAAGCCGGAGGGGCGGGGGCTGGGAAGCCTACTTGCGAGCAAGCAGTGTCTTTCCTCCGCACCAGCTGCAAACGAGAGAGCTTCCCACCCCCCCAGGGCACCACCTGCCGGGGACCTGCCAAGCGGTCCATCACGCCCGATGCCCAGTGTAAAGCTCTCCCTTTGCTGGGTTTTAACTCTGGCGGTCTGTCTCAAACTTTCCAGGAGTGTCTGGTGGACCTGAGGACCCCTCCCAGCCCCACGGAATGGAGTGAGCATGGAGTGTCTGTGTTTTGTCAGTAACAACCGTCTGGTCTCCGGGAAACTTCCCCGATCCTCAGAACAAAGCTCAAGAATGTCCACAAGCAGCCACGTCCATCCGATGTCTGCTGGAAACCCGCTGTCCATGCACGAAGTGCAAAGGTAGGGGTGGGGTGGAACGAGGAAAGCAGAGGTGGCTACATAAATATCAGACAAAGGAGGGTTTTTTTTAAGATTTTATTTATTTATTTGAGAGAGACAGCACAAGTAGGGGGAGTAGCAGAGGGAGAGGGAGAAGCGGGCTCTCTGCCAAGCAGGGAGCCCGACACGGGGCTCCATCCGAAGACCTGGGGTCATGACCTGAGCCAAAGGCAGACGCTTAGCGGAATGAGCTGCCCAGGCGCCCCCAGACAAAGGAGATTTTATGACACCACCACCACGAGTGCCAGGTGGCCATTTCCTAGTGACAGGGGGTCGATTCATTAAGAGCATAGAACAAGCCTATATCAACACCTACTAACAGCTTCAAAATACATGAAGAAACCCAGTGGAATCAGAAGGGAAGTTAGCACATCCTCTGATGTGCCCAAAGCTGTGCATCGGAGATCACGGGCAGCAGAAGACAGAGCCAGGGAAGTGGCGGCGTCCGAACGGAGACCCTGGCCAGGAGAGAAAGGGTTGGAAGCAAGAGCTCACATGGAGGTGAGAGGCAGGAATTTGTCACATTGCACGAGTTTGGGGAGGGAGGCAGAGCGAGGAGCTGGCCGCCCTGCTGAGGTGTGGGGTCTGGGTAACAAGGAGGAGCCACGGGGCGAGGAGGGGGTGCTGGCTTTAGTTGGGGGACGTGCATGGTCGTGCGGCCAGAAGATCATGCAGGTAGACCTTTCTGGGCCGGCAGGACGCAGCCAAAGGAGAGGTGTGGCTGGAGGAGCCGAAGAGGTTATAACCCCAACAGCATTGCTGCTACTGTCCCACAGGCAGCCCCCCAAGAAAGAGTGCTGGCTTCCGTGTTTGCCCAGCCCCTTGGTGGAAACATGCCCGCTCGCCCAGATACTTATCCAGCACATAGTCGGTCTCCTTAGATGTTTGTTGAGTGAATAAACAGACCAGAGGTCCACGGCTTCCACTGAGGAAATCCCAGAGGAATAAACCCCAGATCTGAGAGTGTGTGTGTGTGTGTTTCACTAAACCACAAGTAGAAAAATGTGGTAAACATTAAGTCCACCAACGCAAACTGGAACTCCCCCTCCAGCCTTCTCAAACGAGTGACCCAGAACAAAACTGGAACATCCGAGTATTTTCCAGCCAGAGTCAATATTTCAGAGGGACTCTGCCTGCTCCGAGTGGTTTCTGTGTGTCCAACACAGACCACGTGTACTTTCTGCTTCATGTAGAGCAACCGTCAGACTCCATCTAGGGGAGGCCCCGTGGAGAGAGGATCGCCGTGGGCCGGGACCCCAGGTAAGTCCGGCGTCAGCCCCGGGAAGATGCGTGAGGACAGAGGTGGGAGAGGCCAGAGGGCAGGTCTTCTCACACGGGACCAGCAGGAGCCCTCCTTGCAGCTGGTGCGTGGCGCCTGTGATTGCATGTGGTCCTGCTGTCCACACACACAGCTGGCCATGTCTGTGTCCTCACCTGTCCGGGTCAGCAGAGCATGGCAGCCCCCCACCTGGGAGGAACGTCCATGAGTGCCCCACTGACTCGCACATCCCGCAGAGCGCAGGAAAGCACCTGCCCAGCTCACCCTTTGATGCCAGAGGCGTTTACGGCCTCTGACAGCAACAACCGAGGATGGTGTTTTCATTCCATGACATCAATTTCAAAAGGTTAGGAATGTGCCTGGAACGTCCCCCAGAGAGCTCACAACGGGTCTATCGTCCATGAACTCACAGGGCTAGACCCACAAGGATCTGGCCCCAGCCCCAGCCCCGGCCCCTCCTTCTGAGTGTTTGTGAGCCCGCGACACGGCCTCTCCAAGTCCAGTCCCGGGCCTGGCTTTGCCACTCCTTGCCCACAGGACCTCAGACAGGTGCGTCTCTCCAAGTTCATAGTGTCCACGTGCAGAGTGCCACGCCGGGTGCCACGCCGGGAACATGACCTCTGCCACCAGCAGTCTCAGGGGCAAAGCTTGGTTCTTCCACTTGCTCACTGAGTGGGAAGCATGGTGGGCTTTCCTCTCAGACTACATCTTTGCTTTCACCTCTGCAAAATGGGGATAATAAAGCACGCATCATGTAGGATTTGGGGAAACGGAAGGAGATAAGCAGGGAATGTTAGCCCAGTGCCTGGTGCCGGGACCCCACCTTCACCCTTCCATGTGTTCGTCCTGGAACCTGCTCCCAGGCAGGTGTGCTCAAGCCTGGAGGCGTGACCCAGTCCCCCCCACCCAACAATACCGTCACTGTGCATTCCCAAGCCACCCACACGCAGGAAGGTCTAGAAGTCAGCTTCTCAAGAAAGAGCAGCTGAAATGCGTAAACCCCGCAAAACAACCACCAAAGGCCAAGAGCTGTTGGAGGAATGGCACATAGCCCAGCCTTATTTCTGAGCTTCCTGACAGCCCCAGCAAGAAGGGGAGGGGACACGCTCTCAGCTGATCAAAGAGGCACAGTAACCTAGCCGGGGCCTCATTCCTCCCTCGGACGTGACTCCAGGAAAAAATCTATGAGGCGTTCCTAGAAGCGACATTGGAAAGCGTAAAGGTGACGCCTTGGAGAGTACATCGGCCAGAGAGGACAGAGGGACCGGCAGGCTGGGGGAGGGGGTCAGTGGCGCACATTCAGCATGCTATGTAGCTGAGCCTAGGACCGGGACGTTTCTGAGTGTGAAAGAGGAGTCACTAACAATGAGAGCGAAACAGGCATAAACCGGGACTGCCCCGTGCAGGTGAGAGCCGTGGCCACCAGCGGCCGCTTCTTCCATCCCCCTGTGTTCAGTGAGGGGGGCAGAGCTTTTTAAGAGGTAGGGCAGTAAAGTGTTCGTGTGTGTGGCTTTTTAGTGATTTAACCTAATCTAATCCTTGTAAGACAGATAAACACAGCAGGGTTGGCAGGCACTCTTGGGCTGGGGAATGGCGCCAGGCCCACCATGATCCACCACGTCTGCAATGATGGCCACAAACAGATTTTGTGTGAGGCTTCCCACACATGAGGCTCAGGGTTATGCAAGCCACTGACCTTCCAGATACCCTTCTCATTCAGCGAGCATTTGGATGCCCATTCCAAGAATGCTGGGCATGATTCTCTTTGCTCGGCACAGCCGATGTGCTCTTGCTAACCCCAGTATTTTTCCTACTTTAACTCCTGTCCGTTGTCTGGGGGTGGGGGGAGAAGGATATGAAGTTCCGCTTTCTTCTGGAAAAATAAGATCAGAAATAACACTTGCTCTTTTAAGAATGGTCGGCACCTTCTGAGCTTGAGCCAGCAGGGCTAAAGGACCCAGGGAAGCATTTCAGAGAAAATTCATTCTGATTTCCTTTCCACCATCCCACGGGCTCGTCATATCATGATGTGACTTTCTCTGCTCTGGAGGCAGGATGGTCCCCTAACATGAGAGAGGAAACCGAAGTGAAGATGGGGCACCACCATGGGCTCGCAGGGGGCCTCGGGCATCGCTGTATCCACCCTGCCCCTTGGAAATGGGGAAACTGAGGCCAAGTGACAGAGCCAGAAAGCGAGACCGCAGTTCTTAGTGCCCCGTCTGAGGTTATGAATGGATGCCGGGGGGACTCCGAGCCCCCGTGTCCACCAGCCCTTGCTCCCCAACCCCGTCGGCCAGCGTCACACCCACCATCCGGCCAGGGTTCCCATCCTGCTCAGATCAGACCCCCGAGAGCATCGTTTTATTCCCCCCCCCCGCCCCAGTGTCTCGCTTGCGGTGTAAAATTAGCTCAGCCGTGAGTTTCAGGAACAAATACCTGCAGCCCCTTTGGTGGCAAGAAAAAGAAACCAGTGGGGACTTTCCTCCTTTCCTGCCAGCCAGGGCTGGGCCCCCAGCAGTGCAGGGCTGCCGGGGACAGCTTGCGGAGGGACTGGGGGGACTCGGCTGGATGTCCCCTGGGCTGCCAGGGAGGCAGGAGGAAAGTTCTGGGCCCCTATTCCAGCGCTCCACACACACACCCTACACTCCTAGGTGTCCCCGTAAACACCCCTGGGTCGCTTTGGGGGCACACATCCCTGAACATGTCTCTCAGGGCAGCACGGGCGGGTACGGAGAGTGCGCAAATCACACACACAGGCCTCCGCAGGTTTCACACGCGGCCTGTTATCGCCCCCAGGAGCCCCCTGTGCCCCCTCGCGGTCACCACCTGCCCCCGCAGGTTATCCCTGGCCTCGCTTTCAGGAACTTAGATCCAATCCGCCTGATTGGAACCTGGGTAGATGAAGTCGTGGTGTGGACGGTTCGCCCCTGGCTTGCTTGACCACATACTACGGGAATCATCCGCGTTGTCCGGGGTAACGGGGGGGGTTCGTGGTCATTGCCCTCGCGCTGTAGACACACCAGAGCATATGCAGTGTTGCCCGACGGGACATTCCCATTCCTGTAGGTTAAAAGAAAAACCACTAAAACGATGATAATTTCGTATGATTCCACCTTGTAGCTATCCAGGCGTTTTCTATCTGGTGAACATAGGGGATCGTGTCATACTCTTTCTGGTTTGTTGGGGGTTTTTGTTTTTTGTTTTTTTAAGTCAGCATCACGTTTTTAAATTGGTCTTTGCCGCTGCCTATACACCCAGTCTGGGGGCTGCACAGCCCCCCACCCTCCGCATGCATAACACTGAACATCCCCATCCCGGCCCCGCGACGGACCCCCGGTCGGAATTCCATGGGGGATGTATGTCCACGAGTGGAATTCGGGAGTTACTGGCATCTTCTTGGGAGGCTACATCTGCAGACACGTCCACCCCACAGACACCCTGTGGCCCCAAAGGCAACAAATGGACTCAGTGGTGAGCAAATATCCCCTGGTTTCAGGGCAACGGGATTTAGAGGAAGGGGTGCGGTGACCTGCCAGCAGGGGGTGCTGCCTCCTTGGGGATCCTCGAGGCCCCAAGGGTCTCAGGAGGTTGGAGAGCCCCTCTGGCGGCAGTGGGGCTGTTCCAGCTGCCCCTGTGCCTTCCCGGTGACCCCAGCCCTGGTCTGGAGCTGGCCTGAGCTCCGGGGGTCGGCCATTGGCAAGGGGGCGCGAGTAGGGGCTTGCAAGAGTGTGCCGGGCAGGAAGGGGTCCTGCCCAGACGTCCTCCTGTGTGTCACTTGGCTGTGGGGAATGGCGGGGAGGAAGCAAGGAGACATCCTCGGGGCCCATCCCAGCCTGAGAGGTCAGGGGTCCCCCCTGGAGCCAGGCTGCCGGCCAGCAGCCTCCAGCATCTTGCCGAAGCTTGTCCCACCTCCGTGGTCCTGCCCAGCCTCTACACTTTGAACTGCAAGGATAAGAAGGAAAGTAAAAATGAAAGAAAGTGGAGCAAATCCTGGGAGCAGAGTCCCTGCCGGGGCAATGCACCGATGGGTCAGGGCCGGCCGTGCCCTTGCCCTACACAGGTGTCAAAGGAAGACACCAGCCCAGAGCTCTACGCTGCTGCTTCCACAACTCGGTTTTGGCCTCTCTGCATTCTTGAAAGATAAAGCAACAGTATCAACCAAACTGGCACTCCTCCATCCCCCCGGGCTGCTTCCCTCCCACACGTGCTCTTCAAGCGATTGTGCCTTAGTCAGTGAGCGCCTGGGAGTGTCTAGAGTCACAGCAGCAACCCCCCAGCACCGCCCCTCCATCCGGGGCAACTTCTCGTTCATCAGCTTACTAGGATCCCATTCCACAGATGAGCAAGGTGAGGCATAGTGAAGTCCACAAACAACTCAAGGCCCCCCAGAAAATTGGGGCAGAGAAAAGGGGGCCAGCGCAGACAGTCTGGGTCTAGAGCACCCTGAAACCCCCGTGCTTCACTGCTGGACATGGAGCCTGCTGGAGGGCCCAGACGGGGCGGCCTCGTGGGTCAGTAGGCATCTGGGGCGCAGGACAAGTTTCCAGAAAATGAAGAATTTCCTCCAGCGGGCTCCAACGGCTTCAAGGGGCCACACCCCGAGATTTT